ATGGGGCCTCTACTTGGGAGGGGAGGGCAGCTGGGGAGTTTCCAGTGATGAGATCTGTAAATTGATGAGATTTCAAGCAGCTTTATGAGCTCTGCTTACCTGGCTTGTTTTGTTTTTTATACAAATAAAAATCATACCACTGATGTCAAGCATACAAAGTGCATGATATCTTTGAGCCTTTGTTCAAATGGTGTTTTTAGGGCAACTGTTTGGGAGCATAATCTGTGGGAAGTCTCTATACCTCATTGTAAACCTTTGTCATTTCCTGCCTTGATTGCAGCACTTTCTCCCCTTCCACCTCTCTGAACCTCTCCTTTACCCACGTCACTCCCTTCCTGTCAGCTGCTAAGGCTACCTTCTGTCTGACCATGGGATAACCCTCTTTTATACCCTCCCCTTGCTCCCCCTTCTCCATCCTGTTAGGATGTCTCATTTCACGAGTCTTTACCACTGCCCCTCCTACTTACCTGCATTTGTTTTTCATTGTGCTGGCTGTTTTCTTGCAGCCAGCACAATGAAAAACATTTACCTTCCTCCCTTCTCCTCTGTTCTGTGAATGGCCCTTACTTTTCCTACCATGCCTTCCTGTGTGCCTGCAACATTTTCCTTGAAAAATCCAAGACCTCCTTCAGATCCCTCAGAGGCTCTGACTTCACTTCATAAACTAGTATGGCTTAGCACCTGGGTTAGCCTAATGTAGCAAAACCCTATCCTCATTACAGTGCCCTCACTTTTTCTGTGCTTGCATATGTATCTGACAGAACATCCCACAGTTCTTTATGCTGCCACGTAGGCCTGTGCGACTAGGGAAGTATTTGATTCGGGTTCGGATACGGCCGATCTGGATGCCAGCAGTTTGATCCAGAGCTCTGAATCAGTTTCCTGCTTCAATTTGGCCGAATCGGCTCTGAAGCTTTGGAGCTGATTTGGAGATTTGGCCATAGGGTATAATGGGGAATCAATGAAATATCTATAACTTTGTTGTTTTTTGTCCAATTCAGATGAAACTTGCAGGGGTGGTAGCCTCTGCTGGCAGCACGAAGCCTGCCAAGTGTCAAGGAGATAGGTGCAGGGGTTTGGGGAAAACTGCACCCCAAATTCTTGAAAGCAAAACTCATGTCACGTGTATGTGTTAAGCTACAGTGGGGTCAAAACTGCAGGGATGCTAGCCCCAGGTGAGGCCACAAATCCTGCCAAGGTTCAAGGGGATAGGTGCAGGGGTTTAGGGGAAACGGCACATTAATCTGTGGACAAGCAAAACTCGTGACATGGGTGACACTGTGTGTGTTAAGGTGCAGCAGGGTGAAAGCTGCAGGCCTGCTAGCCCCTGCTGAGGCCACAAAGCCTACCAGCTTTCAAGGAGATCAGTGCAGGGGGGTTCTGGGGCCCTGCACCCCTAGCTGCTAACAGGCAAAACTTGTGACATGGGTGCTTGTGCAACTGACTATCTGTCTTGGGGCAGTTGATTGTCTGTATTGATTATTTCCTCTCCTTAGTATGTGGTTTTGTAGGTGTCAGTCCTTGCTCATTAACTCATTATCTAGTACCTACTAGCTAGCTACTGTGTATTGAGCTGGTCCCTCAGTGAATCATGATCGATTGATAACACAGTAGCTTAGCAACCAAGCCTGCAGTAGTTTCCCCACCCCGTACCCCAAGACAGACACAGTTGCACGGGCACCCATGTCACGAGTTTTGCTGGTGCAGTTTCCCCCAAACTCCTACACCTATCTCCTTGAAACTTGGCTGGCTTTGTGGCCTCAGCTTGGGCCACCATCCCTGCAGTTTTCACCCTGCTGTGGCTTAACATACACACGTGACATGAGCCTTGCTTTCACAACTTTGGGGTGCAGTTTCCCAGAAACCCCTGCACCTACCACCTTGAAACTGGGTACACATCATGCTCTCAGCAGAAGCTACTATCCCTGCAAGTTTCATTGAATCAGCCACAAGACAGCAAAGTTACAGATATTTCATTGATTCCCCATTATACCCTATGGCCGAATCTCCAAATCTTTTGCGAATCAATTCGGAAAGCCTGAAGCTTCCTGCAATTTGATTCAGATTCTTAGATTTGGCCTCCGAATCTCTCCAAATCCCAATCATGATCTGAAGCTTTGCACAGCCCTACTACCATGCTATAGGATTTCTTTTCCCTGGCAGTCTTGTTAATTGCAGGAAAACTTGTCCGTCCTTTGTGGGGAAACTGTGGGAAGGTAGTAGAAAACTATCAGTACTTCAGTGATTTAGTTTACATCTTCACTACAAAATGATTAGATGCCATCCTGAGTTAAAGAAGAGGGCAGTTTCTAACCCACCCTCTGCACAAGTCAACTATCTTAGATTTAACAAACCTTCACACCTGGCTCATAGCATCTTCTCCATGGGTGGATGGATTGAAAACCAGGTAAAAGCCCAGGTTAACACTGCAATGAAGATATTCCCTAAGACACCTCTTCCCATGATGCCCACAATAAATCAACCAGTATGTTTTTATGCACCCGAGGAAACAATATTGGCCCATTAAAAATAATGTTTAAGGTGTCATATGTTTTTGTGCCTCCCTTTTCAGTAGCCTTCATGTGTGTCTTATAGTCCTAAATTGTAACCACCAATGGGCAGGGTCCCTGTCTATGTTTTTGTTTGGACAACATCTCCCACATTGATCCAAATTGCAGCCCTCAGGTAATACCATAATAATAACAGCTATTTTATAAATATCGTGTCATAGAAATGTAAGACTGAAAGGGACCTCAAGGATTCATCTAGTTCACCTAGGGGGATCAAACCTGCAATCTTGGTGTTATTAGCACTGTGCTCTAACCAACTGTGCTGTAAATAAATACAGGTGACTATGGATGTGCCTCACCTTTCTTTGCCAGTGGTGGTGTACTACTTTAAAGAACAAACAGCCCATGCAACTGTATTTGTAGTAGAAGTATTAAAAGCTGCTGTAATCCAATTGAACTATGTTCCTTTACAAAGGTGCATACTGTAACAGCAGCTGGGGAGATAAAGTTGCTTGTGGAAGCTCCAGAGAACATTAAAAACTTTGAATCCATAAATCAAATTCCCAATTTCCAAGCAGCTAATAGGCTAAATGCAAAATGGGGAAATGTCATCAGAATCCAGAATGTTTACCAAGCAAAGGTTGTTTAAAAAATCGGTGCTAGCCAGGGATATGGTTTGTAATCAGCTTCCTAACCTGATTCAGCCTTCCAATGTCTGAGCAGTTGCCAGCACAGTATTTAGAATGGATTCCCTTGTTATGTCACTGCTAGGTACTGCCCTAGCCTTCCCAACCATCCACTCCTCTGCATGACTGAGCCACAATTGTTGTCAAGTAGAAACTCTCTGCAATATGTACAGTGAGAAATCTCCTTGTTTTTCTGTGCAATGCCTGTGCAATGCCCCATAGTGATTATCTCCATAGACTGTCACAATAATAGAATAGAAAAGCCAAGGTAAGATATATTATAATTAACAATCTCTCCACACTGTCCTCTGTCACTTATGCAGCACCCAACCCACCATCAGTTCGAGAGGAGCTTTGTACTGCCTCCCATGACACTATTACTGTCCACTGGATCTCAGAAGATGAGTTCAGTGTCAGCTCCTATGAGCTCCAGTACACCATCTTCACTGGCCAGGCCAACTTCATAAGTAAGTAGCAGTGTGTTTGCAATGAATGAGGTTTTGTATTGAAGAATTGAAGAGGGGATGTAAACCAGCTTGACAATAAAGGTGTTATCAGCCAAAGTCAGCAGAAGGGTTCAAAGTTTGTCTCTAAGGGTATGGTAAGATTGCTGCACAATGGAGTGTGTGACATCTTTAATCTAATTTGTACAGGTAACAAAAGCAGTGAAGACACAGCGGCTATCTTCTTTGTGGGCTTCACAAGCCTGCCAGGGACTCTGGGTATGAACAGATAATTGCAAAAGTACACTGAAGTATACGCTGAAATGTTTTTCCTGCTGTGCTTACCCCTGCCTGTTTAAATTAAATATACTAATACTGCAATCATACTTTCAATTGTAGTTTAGATGTACCATTCATTATAGCAGCATCACAGTCTGTATCAGCATGAGGAGAGCTTTTGGGGGCTGTTTAACCTTGAAAGTTAGATCCAATTTAAAAACAAATGTTTACAAAACTCAGGTTTAGTACAAATGCTAGCTATGTTCTTTTAATCAGAACCTTGTTGGTTCGTGATTGCCACCTTTCCTTAGAGCATTTGCAACCTTAATGTTGCTACAAAAGCCTGGTACTAGAAAGCTAACAAGAGAAAGTGGCCAATCAATTTTTATTCTCCAAGCTCAGCAAAATTGCAAAAGTAAACAATCAGCATTAACAAGACAAAAGTAAATGAGGTCTGCCTAATGATTTCTATTCAAACTATGGAAGGTAGTATTAATAATACAGATGAACACATTTGCCTTTGGCTAATAGGAAGTTTAACCTCACAGTGTCTCCTTAGATGTTCTTTGCATCCACTTTGTGAATGAGTTTTGTAGTGATACTTGTCTCCTATTTGTTTCAGGGTGTGGGGAAGACAATCCTTTACTTATTCATCCCTCAGGTTGCTGCCTTTGAGCCACAACTCTTTGGTTGAGGAGGGTTGGATGTAGGCTCCAGGCAGACACAGGTGTCTTCCCTGCTTCCTTCAAACTGCACATCATGCCCCTTCCCCTGCACACCATTTCCTCTCATACTGGGAAATAAACTTGGGCACTGAACTGGGGTCCCTCAGAGCCCTGTGCTGGAGTGCCTATACCATAGACAACCTTACTGATTGATTCTGATAATATTTAGCACTCAAACAGGGCTCTCCACAGAGCACTAGACATTCATCAGCACACCACTGTACATGCCCCTGTGACAGTGCCCCATTTCTTACTGGGGGTAGTAGGCACTAAGGTTGCCCCAGGCTGGGCAGGAAATCAGTGGAGGAGCTGGAACTGGAATGTGAGTTGCTGTCTTTGTCAGTGGGGCTCTAGCACCCTCAGACAATCTGTAACACAAAGAGCTTGCCTTGTGTTAGCTACTGATTTAATCAAAACACATCAAAAGCACAGAAGGACCTTTCTCCCTTATTACTTTTTCAAGGCCTTGGGAGACTTGCATGAAGTTGCACAGGATTTTGGTCTCTCCTCCTTTCTTATTTGGGTAGTAAAAACAAATCTTTTTAGTTTAGGGGGCAGGCAGTTAGATTGCCTATGAAAAGCAGGAGTTGGGAGCAAACCATGGGAAAAGGTTTGGTGAGGACACTGAACATCAGGGAAGCAATCTAAATGGTTGAGAAGGGGAGAGGAGCTTTGAAGTGCAGTTTGTCAGTGCGGGGATTTGGGATCCATAACTGAATTGTTTTGTGTTCCACTGAGTATCCAGAATTCTTCAGGTCAGTGTATCAACCACAGCATTAAAGGATCTAATCCCTGTCTCATGATTAGTCATTCTGGGAACAGCCAAGGTGTATATGTGTCGGGCAGCCCATTCACAGAACTCTCTGGGTATAAAACAAATAGCCCTAACCTGGTTTCTCTTCAAGCTTCAGGCTAGTAGTGAAATTTGATTTATCTCCCCTCAATACAATACAGGCAGTCCTCGACGTACAACTTTTCAAGTTACAACGAACGTCACTTACGACGTTTATAAATTGACACCCTGTTTTGACGTTCAGAAGTTCCAACATGGGTTTCGACTTTACGACAGTCAATAAAACTGCGTCCAGCTGGTAAGTCTGTTGTGGTGGAAGAGAAAGGGAAGGGGTGTGGGGTGGGCGGGGGGGAGAAAGCAAGGCCCCTGTGGTGAGGGAGGGACTGGGCCTATGACTACCCAGGCAGGGCCACACAGGCACAGGACTGAGCTGCAGCTCATCAGCGGGGTGCAGGGAGGGAGGGGGCGGCGGCTACC